ATTGGCTTCGAACCAATTAACATAAATTCGGTCTTAGCAACATTTAGGCTAAGTTTATTGGCAATTAACCATTTTCTAAGGTTTTCCAAATCAGAGTTCACTGCAGTCTCAAGGTGAGGTATAGAATCTCCAGTAGCGGTTAGATTTGTGTCATCAGCAAACAACCGAGGTTTTGTATTATTTAGACATTGAGGCAAATCATTAATATATGTTAGAAAGAATAGTGGCCCAAGAATAAAGCCTTGTGGTACACCACATTTGATCGATCTTTCTGATGAAATGGATCCTTTTATTTGGCATTTCTGTTTTGATTTGTGAGGTAAGATTTAAGAAAGGCCAAAGCTTTTCCTTTTATTCCATGAAGTTCCAACTTTCTTAACAGAATTTGATGATTAACTGTATCAAATGCTTTTTTCAGGTCAATTAAGACTACAAAGTTAAACATTTTTCTGTCTAAGTTCATAAACCAGTCATTAGTACAGTCGAGTAATGCTGTAGCTGTAGAGTGAAATTTTCTAAAATTTTGGTTAGTTATAATAAGCAGTCACATGAAGTGATGTGCTTGGCTAGACAAAAAAACCTGTTTATAAATTTCAGGTTTATAAAAAAATTTCATGTGGGTTATTTGAGATTAACTTAGTTTGTTCCGCTACGAACTTAAAAATATTTTCTGCGCTGGAGAAAAGCTACCATCGCGGCATGACTTGAGTTAACGTTGACGGCGTGACATGTTCACACCATTAATATCTGTAAAATATAAAGTGTTGCTCGCTTGCTTATGATCGTTCAAGGTTTTAAATTTTGGTAATTCTTTGACATTAATAGTTATTAATACGATTTATTTTGCCACTATTTTTGCGTTGTCCTTTAAGGACAACCATGCTGGCTCCGATGCACATATAGATATAAATATTGCTCTTTCACATTTGACTTTATAGCTTCGCTAGTAATAGTAATACAAACAGCATTCCACAAATTTAACAATTAAGGTTGCTCATGTTTTGTAACTCTACAATAGCTGTACGTTGCGAGAATAATCTACAAGTTTCTAATGAATAGTTGTTTCGTTTAGTACGAAAGTTTAGCGAACGACTTTTGAGCGATGGTTGATGGAAAATATAAGGATTTTTGGACGCCATGTTTGATCGAGTGTTATAGACTTTTAGAAAGTGATTTAAGAGGCGATATTTAAGAATTTGTAGCCGTTTAATTGCAAGGAGACCACCCGGTAATTAATTGCATGTGACTTTCTGTTTATCTGCTTTATTTTTGTATTTTGCATGTCTTTTTTATTGTAAAAATATGTGCAAATTTATATTCTTTAGATTTCGAAACTATTAAATGTACTTTGATATTCGTCGTTGTTGTTACTGAAATGGCGGTTGAAAACGAAGAAAGCGGCTAACAAAACAATAGTCTACATGTTTAGGCTGCTTATTTCCAATATTTTACAAAAGGCTGCCAAACATTTCTGAAGAGAGCTATTTTGGTAGTATGACAAACCCGAAGTTTAAAACACGTCACAAAATACAAAACCGGTTTTTGCAAGTTCTCAAACGGCAACTCAGCCAACCTCGTTCCCAGGGTCTGTCTTTTGGGGGAGAGCCTGGCAGCGGCTGGTCACGTGCCTCGTCCAAAATTTAGCGCCCGAAGGGGTGTGGGGAAAGTATCAAATTACATCAACATGCTTCCAGTGGGATATTATGTTTAACAGTTAAAAAACACATATTTTGTTTTATAACAAATGTTTATTGTAATGTCTTTAAAATAGACCATCAAATTTGTCCTTTCTTGTAAACGCTGATATGCTTTCCACCGATTTACTTGTTACTACGCGTCTTGTTTATAAGACTTTTAGAAGAAACAGTATTGTATTGTCTAGGACTAGAGCCCAATACTAGCAAATGTAAACATTTGATACTGGCCAAACAGAGAAATGTCTGTCAGTGATTTATCTTTCAAATTATGGATTTAGTACATAATTCGTATTCGGTAATTATAGTAAGACTTTAGCCTTTTTCTTGGTCTCTATTAATCATAATATTTTCCTGATAATACTATAATCTATATCACAAATTTACAGTGTCAGATGCGCACAGATCTAGACTGTCATACGAATAGACATAAATTTTCCAGTTTTCTACTTAGATCTACTAACATTTTTAAAGTTTTCATTGCGAATCACCTGTTTATCTCTAATTCTTGCTGATTTTCTACTATTAATTAAAATACGCATTAAAAACTCACAAATCTTGTGGCAAATCATGTCAGCCATAATGTGTCACGTGGAGTGACTTTATATCTGATAAAACTCATCTTCATTAGTATTGTTTATATAATTGTTCATCCTAATTAGTTTGATTATATAATTTTTCATCCTAATTAGCATTCTTTTGTAGTCGTATTTTAAGCTATTCAAAATACTCGAACTCGCGTTTTATCATATTTAAAACTCCTTCTCGTGTTTTAAATACTACGTAAAACAAGGCTCTCAAATATATTTGTATATTTATTTGATAGTGTCATAGTGATACACGCGTTTACACACAAGATGATCCTGGATATGATATAGACGATACAAGCTGTCATTTTAAAAATAACGGTATTCTATTCCACAAAAGAAAAATTTAAATCTCACTTGTATTATTAAGAATATATATAAACGGCAAAACTTGTGTCAAAACGAAAGCTGTTTATAAAATTTATAAATGTGGTGAACACTACTAAACAGTGCTCATTTGAAAGATCGCATATATAATATATTGACATAATTTATTGCCCTTTGACTTATCTTTGATGTATGATTTTAATACCGTAGATTTTCAATAAACAGCAATACTTTGACATTAATGACATATACCATGATCGTTGGGTTTCAGCAATGCCAAGCACCAATTTTATAGTCTTTTGACGGGCTTTAAGTTTTTAATAAGGTCTTTATATAAATCAACAATCTGGATCGGAAATATTTCGGAAATCGAAAGATCTCGCTATTTCGTTGCAATTCCACATCTCATCAATAAATACATTCTTTTGGTCCGAGTAACAGGATAGACTTTAATTCTAAATAAATAACAACCACATTGTTCGGTCTAGAGATATATATTTTCTTGTAGGTTTAACATTGCGACGCTGCCCAAGCGGCAAGCGTACACTTTCTTTGGCAAGTGAAACCAGATTATAGAGTAGGAGGTCACGATATAAATATTAATTTAAGAGTTCTCTTCATGATTTCTTGTTGCAAATTTACAGTAAATTTCATCACCCAAAGTTGCAATTTTAAAACGCTACAAACACGCTTCTCTCCCACTCTACCCATAGCATAATTTTAATTTATCTCCAGGAATCTGGGAGGCAAGTGAACAGCCGCAGCCAATGTCTCTCCCAAAGGGTAGAAGGAGAGACCCTGGGAACGAGGTCGCATGATAGCTTACTAGTAGGTTTATACTAATTACGAATAGCCGCAGCGAAGTGTGAGTATGGTCCCGCATTCTATTTGGCCGACACTTTGCTAACATAACATACTCAAAACAGTAGCGTAACGGAGGAACACGGGGCCCTTAGGCATATTTTGTGTCGGGGGTCCTTTTGTCATACATCGTTAGTGACGAAACGCACCGTATGTGTCTCACGGCGCGACCTTCCTAGGGGGGTCGGTCGTTTTTTTCTTTTTTTCGGCTTTCTTTTGTGCCCCAGATTTGTACTTTCGCTTTCCAGCCATCATGGCCGACATTTTGTTTTGCATTTTTAATTTGGACGTACTTCATGTAATAACTAATAAGAATAACTTTTGTTTTATTTGAGATAAAATAAAATGTCAGTTGCCACTGTCGATGTTTATTGCCACTGTCGATGTTTATTTATTGTAATACCGTATAACCGCATTAATCTAAATCATGACCGTATAAATCTAAATTTGGTGGGGTGGCCCTCGGGGCCCCCTAACAGTCGGGGGCCCTTAGTTATTGCCCTAACCCTACCCTATGTGCGTTACGCCACTGACTCAAAATTTCCCTGCAACTACTTTTTAAATAATATCGTTCTATGCATGTCAGAAATCATAGGCGTCGAAAGATCGATAAGTGGGGGGGGGGGGACCATATTCTTATATCCCCCCACTTCTTGATCTTTCGACGCCTATGTCAGAAATTGCATTGCAAGTTGCAGCAAAAATTGCGTTGTGTAAAAGGCGGATTTCCAGTCCTCGCACGAAACTCCTCGCAGCTCTTGCGAGTACTCGCACCAATGTCATTCCGTTTCCACCACACGCCAATCTCGTAACTCATGGCATGCCCGTTCGCAGGCTAGGTAGTGACAAGAAGAGTTCATTTTGTACGTTGTTACTTCGAAGTTGACAAAAACGACGTACCAAATACTTAAAACTGTTTTGGGTAAGACCAATATTCTATACGAGAGCACAATAAACTGAATTTTAATTTTTACACTATTTAAAGAATTACGGGAGGAAGACCATGAAGACTACTTCAATTATTTCAGGATGTTACCAAACCAATTTGATTATTTACACAATTTGGTAAAACCACTAATTCATAAGTCCAATACTGAAAACAACTAAAATTTCTATATTTTCATCACTCCATCTAGCCGCCATTTTGAAAACAAATTATCATGTGATTGTAAGCTGTTATATGATTGGTTCGTTATTGCGACTTCTCGCAGCAAGTAAAATTAAAAATAGTTCAAAATTTTGAACTATTTCCTGCCAGCGGCATAACATTCGCACAACGTCTGCAAGTTATCCCAGCGAGATGCGAGGAGCTACTGGAAATCCGCCTTCAATATGGCCTTTAGTTACCCTTGTTCTGATCTACCCTTCTGTGAACTAGAACAATATTAGTAACTATAGGCATGTGAGTTATCTAAAGTTGTGAATTGGGTATAAACAAACGTTAGCCAAATTTGTCTATGACATGTTTTGTTCCAAATGTTCAAAACACGCGGTTTTTATATTTGTGTATGGTAATATTCAATTTGTATAGGGGAAAACTTTGCATTTAACAAACCTGCACAACAATCAAAAACTACGCACGGAGGCGTTGCTTCCAGAGCTGTAGATGGAACGAAAAGCCGCGTCTATAGCAGTGGTTCGTGTACCCACACAGCTGAACAAACAACACCTTGGTGGCGAGTGGATTTACAACAACGTATTACAGTCACACAAGTGAAAATCGCAAACAGAGCGATACTTGGTGACCGACTTTCTGGCTTCGAGATAAGGATTGGAGATAATTTGGAAAATAATGGAATTACGAGCTTGAGATGTGGAACTCAACAACATATACCTTCAAATCGGGTAATTGAACAGACAATTTTGTTGGTTTAGAACATGAATAAAGTCCCAAATTACATCAACTTCATTTTGAGTTCCGTACGTTCACCCTGCATGTAATGTCGGGGTAGCAACGTAGATTATAAGTTGTGTTGAACTTGGTCATCTTATACAAACAGAACAAACAAATGAGACAGTTGTTTGTTTTGGTAGAAATCTCAGTAAAAGGTTTGAAGCTAGAGTGCTACATGCACCATATTAATTCGGTTTCTTATTCGTTATCAAAAACGTAAGTATAGCTATAAAATACTCGCGATAACAGTTAATTTTTTTTTACATAGTGGGGTACAGTCTGGTGTGATCCCACGTTGATTGGTCGTTATGTGACGATTGTTATTCCAGGAGAAAATAAAATGCTAACGTTGTGCGAAGTCGAAGTCTATGGTATTAAAGAAGGTATGTTGAGAAATCCCACCAGTAAGAAAAAGCGTCTAATTTCCCTCTGATCTTGAATTTGCTTTTTTCAAATGTTCCTCAAAAATGTGTAAAATCAGTGGAAAATTTAGCCGTACATTACGCCATTTTGTATGCAACAACAAGGTATAGTTAACTGTATTTCTGTTAAAAGTCTCAAATGACGGATCAGGAAGTATGACTGATTATAGTCCCGATGCTTAGATAACCTCCAGATTTTTAATCATCTGAACTTTGCAGCTCTGTTAAAGTTTATTCCGTTTCTCAATCATTGGTGAGCGGATTTCCCAACAGGCTATTGCCCATGCAATAGATAGGGGATCCAAGATACCTCCTCTTTTGACCTCCTAACTCATTTGGAATTTTCATCATTAGCTTTGCAAATTTGAAAAACTCTTTGCAAATCCCTTGAGTGAATTTGCAATCTTCGTATCGGCTGTTGCAATAATCCAATTCAAATAAACTTGATTTTAAATTTTCCTAACCTCCTGTTTTAATTTCCTGTTTTCCTGTTCAGTTCTGAGCGTTGTCATTGGTGGATTATTTTTGTTAGCCACTTGCAACGCGCAGGACAGAACAAGAAGTTAGGAACTTGTAACAGGAAGTTAAGAACTTCTAACAGGAACTGAGGAAAATTTAATCAGCTTTTAGCAACATTGCAAATTCCCTCAAGGGATCTGCAATGGAGTTGTTTAAATTGCAAAGGTAATGAGAAAAATTGCGATCAATTTAGGAACTCAAACGAGGAACGCTTCACGTAGTTTACCTGTAACGTTCTTATCCGATTATGAATGATATGTTGTGAGAAAAAAGGAACTTAAAGTTTATATAAATCGGTAGGAATTTCTTTGAACTATATAAGCTCCTTCATGGTAGTTGATTTAAAGAAATTTATCGTCTGAAATGAAGTCATACTTTTTAGTAGCATTGCAGAACAAATAACTACCTGATTTCCAACTTTAGATAACTCACATGCCTCGTTACTATTGTTATAGTTTACGGAAGCATAGAATAGACCAAAGTAACTACAGGGACGTCCGCGTAGCCTGTTTAAAAGTGTGTGTGAGAGCGAGGGTTCAGGATAACAAGGGAGCTATTCCACGCAGGCAGGATGAATTATATCCGGTAATTTATTCTTAACCACCGAAAAAGTTGGGGGCATGCCCCTCTTGTTCCGCGGTCCGTGACCTAAGCATTAGAAAAAAAGTGTTATTCACTTATATAGATAATTCTTAAGCTTAAGGTGGCTCCCTACAGTTCTCTAAAATTTTAAGTATTTTAGTAACCTTCGTTTTCGACCAAAATTATATCGAATTTAGAAGTCTTATGCTGTCGATATATGAACAAATAGGAACAGTGTTAGTGTTGCCATGGCAACCATGACGTTTCATCTTGTGCACTTTTATTGTCTAATTTTTTCAATCAAACGGCAATATCTTTTTTCCTTCGGTCACCCCTTCTCAATTTTATTAAGATTTATAGTTGAAAGAGGAATGACATATTAAAATTAGAAGAGATGTTTAAGGCAGGTTTTGAGATATTTATGAATAACGACTACAAAAAATCTGTAATGTAGAATTTCTTGAAATTTTGTTATGTTTGACTAATTGTTATGCTTAGCAAATGTGCAAAATTTAAAAAAATTTCACCGAAGGAAACGCGAGAAAAATAGTTCTAAAATCCATTTGAAGTTGTTGACGTGACAAAGTATGGATTCGACATGATCGCTAATTGCGCATGCGTGTGAATTATAATGCGTGGGGAACACGAAACACGTACGGTTTTTAGTTTGCTCTTTTTAGTAATTTTCACTTTGAGTCTTTGGCTTATATGTATCGCACAAATATTTTTTATTTATTTGAAATGAAAATAAAAAATATATGTTCAAAATACGAAAAATTGAGAACACAATAACGCATTGACTTAATTAAATTTAATTCAAGTTAATCAAGTAGAGTTTGACTGCTCGTATAAAACAACTCGTAACTGTCTGCAGTATAGTTTTATTGGATTCAGCAGATAAAAAAACTACATGTGAACTGAGTTGAATGACAGGACTTACGTAAGTTTCAGTGACGGTACAGGAGTGCCTTGAAGACAGTGTAGAATATAGTTTCTGTTCGTGACACTGTTGTTAATCATTATGAGTATTATGAAATACAGTAGTGAACGCATTAAATATATAAAAACATACGGAAAGGTAGGTTAAAAACTAGTTAGCAACATACGTACTGTTCGAATTTTGAAAAGTTTAGGAAGATAATAAAAAACTGGCGTTCTCTTTGCAGATAAAAATACAAAAACAACTTCCCGCGGCTTGTTTCAAGATTTTTACAAGAGTCGCGAGGATGACGTCTGATCTATATAAGTATTTTAAACTGGACTATAACTGTAGAGAGTCACCTTAAGGCATGTTACACGAGGCAGTTATTCTACAACTTGTAATGCAATAGGGCCAAGCAATTTAACAATTAGACAACGAGGGCGAGTTGTGTATGAGCGAATAGTCAACGATGGCGAAGCTGAGATGACTGATTCGCTCGTGGACAACGAGGCCAAGTTTGTTTTAGTATAAACTTAACAATAATTTATTTACAAGAGGGTCCTGAAGGGGGGGTCCCAATCCCATTTCCCACCTGAAATTTTGGCAAAATCCCAGTCCCAGTTGGATTTTCATTAGAAATCCCAGTCCGAGTTATTGAAATCCCAGTCAATAAACAACCCTTTATTTATCGGTAGAATAAACAGTTTTAAGACCTTTTAAGCCACCGTGTGTGCAAGTGGTGGACACTTTATGAAATATCGGGGGGGGGGGGGCTCGTACCGAAGGCACAGAAAATGTTTTAATTTGAATCCCGGAAATGGCATTTGCAGCATTCTGAGAGATGCATAATCAGAAAACCCAGAATTCCGGGCGCCAGAGTATGCCTGTTCGCAGGTAGTGCTGTGAATAATATAGTTAACAAGAAAAATGATGACCAAAGACTCCGAAAACGGATCAAAATTGTATTTTAAAACACTTAAAATGTAGAAAAATTGGGAATCGACTCGCATTACCTCAATCCCATTCCCATTTTTGAGGACTTCATTTCCCATTCCCAGTGGCTAAATCCCAGTTCCAGCAACCCAAATCCCATTTTCCCAGTCTAAAATTAGATCAATCCCAGTTCCCATTTTACCCCTTCAGGACCCTCTTACAACTAGGCAAAGAAATAAAAAAAATACACAAAAGTATTAATATTAGATTTTAATAATTTAGTCTCGTTTCTGGAACTGGTTTTCAATGCTGCGACGGAATTATGAGCGGGTTCATCGGCATCGAATTAAATATTTTAATTTTTGGTCTCGTAAATTGTTTCAAAATTCAGTTCTAATTTTAATCGTATGCAAGATGGCGGATGGTTATGAAAGTGTGAGCTCCCTATCTTGTTCGACTTCTCAACAAAAAAACCAACGTAGTTTGCCCAGAGATTCATAGAAGGCGAAATAAAATTGAGTGGTAGATGGCTGTCGCCTGGTGGCGAAGCGAAGAAATTTGTTAAACAAAATTTCTCCCTGAAATGGCAGGGACCAAAGAGCAAAAGATTATCGATCCTTGAAGACGACGAAGACAAATACTTGGAGACGTGTCTCGAAGGATTTGCACGTACAGCGAACATTGAATTCAATGACAAACCCAAAACGTCCATCGTCGAACACGTGCTTGCTCATGTTGTTGTCCCCGAAGGCGAAAGCAAAGTATCGACATATGACAATTGCAAGGACATGAAACCTGAAATAGATCGCATAATGTCGATGTTTACGAAGTTACAGTTGAAGCAAGATGAAGAAAGTCAACGAGCGGCTGAATCCGAGGCGAAAGTCGAAAGTTTGGTTTCAGAACATATTTCCAAGATGGCGACCGAAATCGAATCGCTAAAAGCAACCGTGGCAGAACTAGAATTCGAGAACTCTGCAATAAAGAACGTTTTAGAGATGAAACAAAGTGAGTGGATTAAAGTAGATTCTAAGAAAAGCCCATCTATTGAAATCAAAGCTGTGGATATCCCATCTGAAACCCCAGTCCATAACAGCTTTTCAACACTGGATGTTGAGGAGCCAGAAGAAGACGAAGCATATACTAGCTTTCCAGCATTGGATGACGATGAGAAAAATATGGATAGTAGCCATAAAACCAATGTCAGCCATCCAAAGCAAAAGTCTAAATCTGGAAAAGTATCAACATGGAAGAATACGGAACAAAATATCGGTGCCAAGCAAAGAAATGACCTGAACAAAACCATTGTGATTGGTGATTCCATGATCAAACACATCGACAGCAAGAAAATTGAAAGGGCTGCAGGAAGTAAATCGGTTTCCCACTCTTATAGCGGAGCAAGAGTTAACCAGATTAATGAGAAATTCAAGGAACACCGAAACAAAGAGCAGTATGATTGCATCATACTTCACGTTGGGACGAATGATCTGGTTCACCAAGAGGCTGAACAAGTGGCGGCAGATATGGAAAGCTATTAGAAGAAGTAAAGACACACACGACGAAAGTTGCTGTATCAAGTGTTATTCAAAGGTATGATGGCCGAGTAAGTTCAAACAAAATAAATTGTTATAATGGCTTAGTGAAAACATTATGCTCCAAGCATAATGTTCACTTTATTAATAATAACAATATTGATAAGTCCTTTTTAAATGGCTCAAATCTACATTTGAACCGGAAAGGTGACAGTGCTCTAGGCAGTGCATTCTGCACATATATTAAATCTAATAGAGTTAAAACCCCTAGTAAGGTATCAGTGCCTTTAAGTGAAAACAACCAGGGTTTTCACCATGTTTATGGACACAGGAACAGAGAGTGGACTCTATACCTGGAGTATGTCAGCCAGAGGTTGCTGAGCAAATAGATAGAAATCCTAATATTGTAAACACAAATTATGTGAGTAGCGATTTTTTAATTAGCCTAAACTCCATTCCTAAAGAAAGAGGTTTCAAAATGGCTTTTCTAAACATTGTTAGTCTGCCCAAAAAATTGATGAAATAAGATTTTCAATGTCAAACAAGTACATTGATCTCATTGCTTTCAATGAAACACGACTTGACCAAAGTATACCTGATAACCTGATTCACCTTGATGGTTATGATATTATTAGGAAAGATAGGTCGAGAAATGGAGGTGGAGTATGTATTTATTTGCGTAGCTCAATCAATTACAATATAAGACATGATCTGATTCCCTCTGAACTAGAGGGTGTTTGTGTAGAAGTTATTAAGCCACATAGCCGACCATTTCTTATTACAACAGTTTATAGACCACCAGATTCATCATCTGAATTCTTTGACCAGTTTGAAAAATTAATCAAAACTATTGATGATGAAGATAAAGAAATGTATATTCTTGGTGATCTAAACTGTGACATGCTAAAAACAGATAAGGAATCAAATCTTCCTACAAAGAAAATTAAGTCACTATATGAATTGTATCAGTTATCACAGTTGATCAATGAAGCTACTCGAGTAACTATGACTACCACCAGCCTTATTGACCATATAGTTACCAATAAACCAGAGAAAATTTCAAATTCTGGTGTTATACATACAGGTATAAGTGATCATAGTATGATATATGCAATTAGGAAACATTCCATTTTAAAAAAAAAACAAGAAAACACTACTGAAATTAGAAATATGAAAAATTTTGATAATCAAAAATTTGTTGAGGATCTTCAGGATCAGCACTGGGAATATGTATACTTTTTTGCTGATGACCCAAACACTATGTGGGAAACTTGGAAGAAATTATTCTTAGAGGTCCTTGATAAGCATGCACCACTTCAACATAAAAAAATTAGATAAAAAAAAATCCCTTGGATTACAAGTGATATAAAGAAACTTATAGTTACAAGGGACAAATTAAAAAGGAAAGCCATTATCACAAACCTAGAAAAGGATTGGAAAAATTATAAAGCAACAGGAAATAAAGTGAACATAGAGCTTAGAAATGATAAAAAAGATTATTTTTCCTCGAAAATTGCTGGTCAAAAATGTGATCCAAAAAATGCTTGGAAAACCATAAACAATCTATTAGGTAGACAAAGCAAACCAACAGTGGTGAATGAACTAAAGCTGGGTGACAATAGTTTAACAAGTCCAAAAGATATTGCAGAGGGCTTTAATGATTATTTTTCAAGTATTGGCCCTGATTTAGCAAGCAATATTCATACTTCGAATGACAGCTTTGAAAAATATGTTAAAAATTCTAAATCAGAATTCACTGATTTCCAGCCGGTTAC